TTTTTTTTTTTTTTTTGCGACGATTGGATATGAATGTATTTACAAAGCTGGCTTTTAGTATGTGTGCACTCATTAGCCCTGGCTCTAAATAGGGCCCTCCCCCACTTCTACCTCCCCTCTCGGTGGTACATTTGCCCTTTTTATGAGCCCTCCTTTTCCATTTTTTTCCTCCTCCTCTTCTTTCCTTTCTCTTTTTTTTCTCAACCCCAACACGGAAATTGAAACTGTATCTGGGCTTATCTGCAACCTCCCCGTGCATCAACTGCCGAGATGTTTAGACAAATTTTATGCATTATGCAGCGCAAATATCAAAACAGTTCTTGGCAGTGCCAGCAGAAGCCTCATTAAAAATTCCTTAATTAAATCTTCTTGCAAAATGTAATCAGTCCAAGGAAGGGGTTTTGTGTGTGTGTGCGTGTGTGTATGTGTGCGCAGAAGACGACGTGTGCGTATGTGTGTGTGTCTGTCAGTGCCAAGGCTTTGATTTGTGCCCTTCATGTTATGGCTTGGAGAAGTAATCATTAACGCCAAAGCCACTTTGGCTTTTCAAATGCTGTTTTTCTTTCTTTTTAAACAGAATAAACAAACAAGTGATAATCACCTTTCTAGTGTCGGCTCAAGATAAATCCAGAACGGGGGGACATTGTTCTGTGACCACTGAAAAATAAGATACCTCGCCTCCCCCCTGATGCTTTTGTCTCGGTCGGTGTGAATGACGGACTTTTTAGATCACTAAAACAGCAGAAGTCAAGAGGAACCCGGCCTGAGTCACGGCTAATAACACCAAGTTGCACAGATCTTAATGTTTTAGTGGTATGCACACTGTGGGCACTTATTCATCCATTTACAGTAAGCTATCATCAAGCATTTCTCTTTCATCTTTCTAATTAATTTAATTTACTGCACCCAGAACATTCACAAACCATCCTACAATCTAACACGGAATAAAATGCACCATCGGTGGATAAGAAAAAAAGGTTTGTCTCCGTTTCGAGTGCACGTTTTCATTGGTGCAGCACGTTGAGGGATTTGCATACCTGGCAATATATTTCTGGTAGAGGTTGATGTCATCGCTGGCGGGTTTATCTGGTGGCAGACCATTCCTAATGCAACAGCAAACACAAAAGAGACAGGATTAATGGTGAGGTTGGGCTGCCTGTTGTTAATAAAAACAAACTGACACAATATTTACTTACAAGCCGCTCCCAAACTTTGGACTATCAATATACATTTTCCTGTGGCACAACAGCGTTTTCATGTGCCGTATGAATCAAGGATGGAAGCCGCACACTTTGATGCATGGTCTCCCAACCAATGAAAGGCAAAATGCAGGAGCAAAAGGACATTAATCTTTTATGGAGGTATTTTGGTGAGTGCTCATATGCAAAACTGGATAATGGGGGTGTGGAGAAAAAGCTCTGAAAAGGTCTTTTCTGACAATCCCTAGGGGCCTCGGCTCTAATGTTGATGTCAAGTTGTCTCCCATCAGTCTGGACTCAGCTCAGACAAAGACGTAAGACAGCTCTGCAGCTTCAGATGCGTATGGATCAAGATAATCGACCCGGTTTCAGCGCAAACGAATTCATTTCAAAACAGGAAATCAAGAGAAATGTATCACATTACAGAGGCCTGCTCAGGAAGGGTGTTTGCTTTTTGTCACCTGTGTTGCTTTTCGTGAAGCTGGCAGCGGCACTGCCTGCAGAATAACAGTCGTAATACAGTATTAGTCCTGTTTGCTCCCTCTCCACAAGTGGCATTTAGCTCCATGTGAGCAGCTCCACACGGGGGATGACCTGAGGTTAATCTGGCCCAGGGGGGAGGATGCGCTGCCAGACATTCTCCCTAGCACCCCATCTCCTCCCTGTGTACAAGCACCAGACTGGGTCAGTTAGCCAAGACTGCAGCTCCACCGAGCCCCAACCTGACAAAGGCCAAAGCCTGAGGGAGAGGTGCCTGAGGGCTCTTGAACAGTGTCTTTGATAGGTCTTGACTAACTAGAGACAAGGTCAAAACCAATCAAACAGACTCTGGGAGCTGTTTCCTACTGGTAGTGCACACAACTGTAGGTTAGCTCCCCAAACCCCTCGTTTGCTTCCTTTAAAGTGCACTCGTCAGGCAGTGTTGAGTCGGCCCCTGTGACTCGCTGGGAGGTTAGTCATGGCTCCAAAGTAATTAAAGGGAGAGTTGTTACACCCTAGCCAAACGAAAGAAGTCAGTCACTTTGCGATGACTGTGCTAAATCAGTCTCCACGGAGTGCTACAGCGAGTAAACACTTCATGCGCCTTCGCAACTCATCATGTCGTGGATCTATTGGGCGCTATGCACTATTTCACACTACATTCCTGTTGGCTGCTGTGAAGGTAGCAATTACCTTTGCGTTAGGCTAACTGACTCACAGTAGCAGTTAAGTGTATGTGAGCTTCACATTAGCTCCAAGGGGTTCCACTGAGAGGCTATCAGTGTGCTGAAGACAAACCTGTGAGCTCGGAATCTTTTCTACCCACCAGTAAACTTAAAATTGGAATTTCAATGACGGGTAAAGTGATTTACTAGCAAATTTTTAAAGAGCCCTGTATTGCTTTGGTGCAAATAAGTAATGCAGCATGTCAAACTGTATTTTTGGTCAGGAAGCGCATATTTCACAGGTTTTAATAAGAAGCTGCATCAGAGGCAATTGGAGTGACGCCGTCATCTCCTGCCCTGCAAGTTCTCAATGCTGCAACACCTTTTGTTCAATCTGCGAAGGAGGTTTCTGCAAGTTTTATGCACCATTTGGCTGTTTGTCTGATAATTATATCTCAAACCCTATTAAATAGAGCTCAATTATTTAGTAAGAGAACTACCATTGGCTAGGAAGTTTTTAGGCGCAGATAGTGCCACCGTGTTCATATTTGTAGTTCTATGCCTATTTGCTAAAAAAATTCTCATCAATTCTTTGGTCAAACTCAAATTTGTCACATCAGCCACACCCGTTTCACAGACTTTCTGCTATTTGACATTTCAAAACACTTACTTCTCCATCAGTCAAACTAAATCCAATCTGCACCAAATGTGTCACATCTAACAATACTATCTTTCTCTATTTGCATTTCTATCCAAATTAAAAGCATATTAAAAACAAAAAATCAACAGCACCGTGTAGTCTTAGCAAAGGTAAAGTGCTTTTGAGTATCACTTGACGGTGTTCAAGCAGACTTACTTAACGGAGGACACGGTGCCAGTGGTGATGGAGTCTGTCTTGGAAAAGCTGGACTTCAGGTAGTCAGAGGCGTTGAAACTTATGTGTCCAGTCTGGTCCATTGTGAGCCCCGGGGCGATGCTGGCCCCAGCTGCACCTGCAGCGGGGACACCAGGAGCTCCGGGGTTCCCTGGCGACGACGCTAGGACGGTGGGCATCATTGACGTCTCGGGGTTTCCTGGCATTAGCTTCTGAATTGTTCTGATGTCATACTTCGAAGGACGGCCCACTTTGCCAGTCTTAAAGGCGATGGCGCCGCCCATGTCGGGGTTGCCGTCACCGGGCTTGAAGAGGTGCAGAAACTTGACGTTCTCCAGGTCGTACTTAGAGGGTCGCTTGTAAGCGTTACCGTTCTGCTGCTGTAAACTCTCGCCCATCTTCAGCTTCTGAATAAAGAAGTCATACTTGGAGGCCCTGGAGGCCATGTTCTGCATGTGAGAGGGATTGGGTGGCTGAGAATTACCCAGCTGAGGTGCTACTGGCGGTTTGTGGTCCAGGCTGGAGGGGTAGATCGGTGCCTCGGCCCCTGGCAAGCACCCGGAGGTCTGGAGCATGGTAGCACTCTTGTCTTGGGCCAGTTTTGAGTTGAGGTCGTCTGGTTTGGGTGGGGAAGCATGCATGGGCCAAGGTAGGGTTTCGCCGGCTTTTAGCTTGCGAATGTACTCTTCGTACTTGGAGAAGCGGGCACGCCGTGAGGCCTCCTCACTGCTGAGGGATGAGGGGTCTGAGGTAGCGGCTTTGAGCTTCTCAAAGCTGATCTTCTTGGTCAGCTCATCCCTTACCTGATGGTCATCATAACCGAACATTCCCAAAAACTCATTCATTGTGTTGGCTGCATAGTCTCGCAGGGCAGATGCTTCTCCTGCACACACAAAAACAAGAGAGAAAAGAGCTTCTATGTAAAAATTCTTAGCACTGCTTTCAGATTACTTCTTTTAAAGTTGCTACCAGTAAAATGGAAAACTTTAATTTAAAGGTTGGCAAATTTTAGAGGCCCTCTGTGTGGCACCACTGGAAGGAAGGACTTCAATTTACAACAGGAACATGTACATATGTGCATTGATTGACTTTTAAAAATGTGTTTAGAGTCGTGAAATGAACCCAACTCAGCCCACTGCTCAAGACATATTAACAACAATCTTTATCTAATTCAGGTCACTCAGTCAGTCTATTAAATGGTCTTTGTTCATATAGACTGATGCTCGTTACACAGTGTTTCTGCAACTTGCTATATTTTTTGGCATGTTGGCTACAAAAGGATTAATCTGGTGTAGAGTAAAATATATTATATATCTGTCAGGCAAACATTTACGCTACATTTTGTTAATACAGGATCACTTACTGCATCTACTGTAGAAGGTTTAGAAATAACTTGCTGACATTATCCTCATTTTTTTTTTTCAAAACTTCAGTAAATTTGACAACAGGAAAGGTGCTTCTGCACTGCAAGCTACAGCATCTGTAAATGTTGACTCATTTATGTGTCTACAAACAAGCAGTCTGAGGTGATGCTCTTCCTGTTTTGGTTGCACTGTAAGTCAGTCCTGCAGAATTTGCAAGAGACTGTAAGAAAAAATATATAATGAATAAACTTACTTTTAAAAAATGTAATTAGATTTTGTATTTTTTTTGCATTAATATTTTAAACAAACATTAATGCATATAAGAAATATTACATTGGTAGATCTCCACCATATTTCTGCTAAAAATATACAAGGGAAACTTTAGGGGAAAAATGTGCTTATGCAGCTTTTTAGAACTGAAGTAGCTCCATCAGCACTTTTAACTGTACATTTTTACATGATGACTGATGCGTTATGTTATTAAATGTCACAATTTTAAGTACTATCTACAGAGAAATTATGGCATGTTAAGTGCATTTCATAAAACCTCCAATGAAGCCAGATATTTTAAAACAACATGATTATTGTGTCACCTTCAAAAGTGAAAGGAACGAATCCTTTCCTCTTTTCGCACATTTGCGAACTGAAACATGACTTTTATTTTAAGAGTCCATTAAATTGGACAACTTCCCCAAGGACACAGGCGAAATATAGTCAATGTATAGTTTAATTGCATTATGTGGAGATTAATTCTGCCCCATTAACTTTCATCCAGGTTAGCGCAAGGGGTCAGAGAGTGGAGGGGAAAAGGGAAAGATGATTTGGCCTGAAAGCAGTGGAGGGATCAAGCTGTGTAAAGAAAGAGGAGCATGAGTACTGAGTAAGACAGAAACAGAAAGAAAAAGAGAGAAGCAGGACTAGTACTGCAGCTTTTCTCCAAACAGTTTGCAGATCCGGCTCAAATCTCCTGTTGTGTCACTTTGCATATCAGGCAGGGCACCAGAACACAGATATGCGAGTAATGCAGCAGATGATCATTTCAACGGAGCCATGTAAAACCTTTGGCCTTCTGAAGCCAAGCACGACACAGCCACGTGCAAGTCATTTTATATTTAAAAAAAAAAAAAAAGTTTTATTGCTGTTTTCACCATCAGAGCAGACATGAGCTGACGAGAGATAACGCCACCTACCATCGAGGTAATTAATACACAAATATTTCTGCTCTTGTCTCATATTTCTCAGTTATTGCTAAATCAGTCGCTGTGCCCTGCTTTTCACATCTCCTTGCGTAGCATGTAAAATAATCCCCAAATTTCCATTCACTGCGTTGGGGCTGTTCCTCTGCTCAGTGGTTCACTATGAAAGAGTATCTGGTGGATCGAAGGGGCATGAAAAATTTAAGAGAAATAGATCAGGTATTTGACAGAAAATACCTACATGTTTGCAGCAGATCGCTCTATCCAATCTACCATGTTTTCACATGTCCTGAAACCACAGAGTGACATAGTGTATGCGCGAGTGTTCAATGCGTAGTACAAGAGCTTATTCTATACCTAAGCGTTTATCTTTCCTTTAGTGGTTGAACTGATATGGTGCCTGCCATAAAGATCAGCAGAAACCTTTGAGCAAGTCCATTTTAAATGTCATTTGGGTACACATTCTCATAATTTGATGTAGGTGTTGATAACCTTAGTCCTTGGTTGGATTTTATTGCTACTGTATTTATAAGGGCATCTCAGGTCACAGTATATCATATAGCTCTAAAGTTAGTGGCACACCCGCCCACACCGGGACGAGTGAGAAAAAAGAACGAAACTTTGCTGACTGAGGAATAATATATTTAAAAAGAAAGAAAGAAAAAAACCATGGTAGAATAAACAAATCAATTTCCAAAAATTCCAAATGGAATATATTAAATCTCATTTTAATCACTAATATAAATGTTGTCTGAATAGGTTCACGCCTGCTGATTGTTTCTTTGGAGTAAATTAAACCCAAAAAAACATCTAGAATTTTAGCGGCAGAGTCGATTGCTAATTATTGCAAAGAGACTAGTAGTTTCTGAGCTACATATCCATTTTTTTCATATCTGCTGAGGACATTATCATCCCCTTCTCCTAAAAAAAAAAAAATTAGCTGACTCTCTTTTGCTCATCAGCGGAGCCATGTGACGTGCTATCAATGGAAGGCAAATGATTGAACTTGAAGGGATTATGACTGGGACCGACAGGAGATAACCTTTCTAAAACACCATGTAAATGAGTTTTCTACTCAAGCACTATCTGGCTGCCTCTTAATAATGTCATGTAACACCAGCTGGGAGTTTTGGTGCGCGGGTTAAAGTGAAATTGGCCGCACCACTGATGCTACCACCTAACCCTGTCAAATAAATAAACCTCTCTTTTTCTTGTACCTTCATCAGCTGCTCTCGCTAAGACATCTGCACTCTCTCTGGTGTCGGTGGCTCCTAATCTTGACACTTCAGGCAAGCAAAATCCAACACAGACCTGCCTTGTCTATATTTGAGGCAATTAGGCCACATTTTCTCCCCGAGATATGATAACAAGTGGGCATTATATCTCCTTTTGCTGACCAAACATGGCCATCGGTGCGGCATGGCTTCAGCGCTCGCAGGACTGAGAGGCAGAGGTGTTGCTGATGATAAAGATGCATACTGGAGGCTATATATGGACGAACCTAAGCTCTGAGGAGAGTCCGTTTAAAACCACAAATACATAATTTGGTTGAAAACACCTTTAATAAGTTGCAGTTTAGTTTTGAATAGTGCAATTCTTTCATAAATCATTTAAATAGTTTTAAAAAGCTATTATGTTCCTGAATTACTTTTTGAGCGTGTTCTGTTTAAATGGACATTGGTCTGCTAATAAACACTTGCTTTGAACAAATTACATTATGTGCATTAGTTTGAAGCAATTTGTCATATAAAAAAAAAACACAGAAAAAAAAACTACGAGCTTCAAACTTCCTGACTGTTTGGTTGGTTAATTAACAGGCAGTAAATAGAGGGGGCTTTGAAATAGCTTGAAATGAACAATAACCTTTTACAGTGAACCCAGAATTGCAAATGGAAGTCATGGTCAAGCCTGTTTGATCCATCGCTATGAGCATCTCTGTCATTGCTTTCATAGTTTTTATTCATTGGTTTTTTTCCATTGACTGGCTTACGAGGGCTCTAATGCGACATCTAAATTATCTAGGAAAAGTATTCTGGGGTTTTGCACTGATAGGAAATCCGCACGATGCCTCAATGTGAGGAGTTAAATGTTTTGAAGGTCGCAGTTTCTCTCATTGATCTTGCAATGTTTGTTAATTACATTGTCACTGATGTTGTGAGAGATAATTAAGCCACTATGTTTATATGCATAATTATGTGCACTCCACATCAGCCTTTGAAAGACAGCGGCGAGAGAGAGAGAGAGAGAGAGAGAAAGAGAGAGAGGGAGGGAAAAAATGTTTTAATTGTGAGCTGAGCAGAAACATGGCAATATAGATGCCCTAGTTACAATCAACAAAGAGCAACTCGGAAAAAAATAAAAACTCTTAAGACAAGATTTGCAACTGATGCAGTACGCTCTCCCCTCAGTCTTCAAACACGAGCTTTGTTGTGAGATTTAAAGTAGTAAGGCAACCGGCGGAGGGAAGGTGTAGGCCTGCTGCTGCACAACACTAATACATATTTACAGACAGGCGCTTTTTTTTTCTTTTCTTTTTTTTTTTGTGGCGTTGAAATAAACAAAATGACTAATTAAAACCACAAAGCCTTTTTTCATTTGCCTCTGAAATGAAACCTGCTTCATTTACTGAAAAAAAACCCCTGCCCCCAATTCTGTGTGTGGCCAGGACTGCTGCTGCTGTACAGTTGGTGCAAACAAAAAGAAATGGAGACAAAAGGAGCATGTGTACATGACTCTGAGGTACATACCTAAACCTAGATGAAAGCCCAAAAACTGTTAAACTGAGGGGAGCAAGCACAAAACAAAACTTGTTTTTGTACCGCAACAACCGGTCTCACCTGCAAATTGCATTTTTTTTCCTCTCTCTCTCTCTCTCTCTCTCTCTCTCTCTCTTTCTCTGTCTGTCTGTGAAACAGGCTTTATCTATTCATATAACCGAGCAGTTTGTTTTTTTTTTTCTGCTTTTTACAGCTCTGTGTTTTAACTTCTGCTATACAAGGCCAATGTCTCCTACAGTGCGTCTGCGTCTAGTTTCAAGGGTCACAAAGTGTATAAAGCTAAACAGCACTTTCTTAAAAGGTTGTTTGTGCCGTTAACACATGCTCTCCGTCATTCAGAATGACTGTTGGAAGTCGGTGCCAGCTTTATCTATTTGATAATCAGTGAATTATACTGAGGGAACATAATGTCACAATTAAACAGGGGTTACTGTGAGTCATTTACAAGAGTACATAGTGTTAAGGAATTTATTAAAATATGCTCACGTCTGCTAACAAAAACAAACACATGAAGTCACTGTCATTTGTGAGAAGGTATAAACACGCTGTACTTCAATGCGTGCTAAATGACTTCCCTGTTTCTGACTTTAATCGACAACTGCAAAAAAAACAAAACAAACAAAAACAAAAAACAGACAGAGTCTACCATGTAACAGAGGAGCTTGAAGCAGTGGCTAAGTTTAGTGAGCTTAGGGAAAAAATCAAAGACTCAGTATGTAATCCTGGGTGTAATATGAAGCTTAGCCTGGCCCTGCCATGCGCTCTTGGCCCTCAGCTGCTGGGCGAATGCATAAACGCCTAAATGCCTTACGTTGTAAGCCTACTCCATTTATGAATTTCTTCGTACAGTTAACCACACACAAGTTCCTGTTTTCCCCCCTGGCCTGCCAATTGAATCTGTCTTTAGAGTAATAATGTCACTGGCTATTCATAATGTAACTCTAGAGCGTCTCTTTCCAATAATGGGCACACTTAAGCTTATGTGGATGTGGCAATGTCACCTCTCCACTATCTAAGCCTTTGCCCCTTAATATGATGCAGTGGAATGTTTTTCAGGCCAAAGGTACTGTTGGTTTAGGATGGGTAAAGGGTCACGTATACATCACAGTAACGATTGGAACCAGAGTGTACCTGGAGAGGAGAAAGGTGCTTGGCGACTCGGGGCCTCGCTTGGCGGCATGTAAGCGTCTTCTTTTGGAGGCTTGTCGTCAGCTTCTTTGTCGTCATGGTAACTGCCATCCTGAGACGGCGCCACGGGCTCGGCCTCCTCGGCGTTGTCTTCCTCATCGCTACAGCCTTTGGGCTGTACCATGTACACGCCCTCAGGAGGGCCGTCTTCGTCATTGCTGACTTTGAGTTCGTGCTCCTGCTCATCATCGGGGGCCGGCGGCTCGTCACCGTACTCGCCGTTGACCCACTTCTCGATGGCCTCGCGTCTCTTCTGGTCCTCCTCTAGGCTCTGACTTAGGCTCAGGCTCTCGGGGAAGTTGGTCTCGTTGTCGTCGCAGTGGGAACTGCCGGGCTCACTGTTTTCTGCTATGCTCTGGTCACCCTCTGCGTTCTGGGAGCTGCTGTCGAACACCACCTGGCGGCTCAGCTTGGCACAGATAGCATTGAGTTTTAGGCCACCTTTCCTTTTGGCGGCCATCTTGGATTTTCCTGAGGTCGTTTCAGTGCATAAACTCCTTTCAGCTGAAGAAAACAAGAAGAAGAAGAAAAAAAAAAACCAGGCATAAGATTGGCATTGGAAGGTGTTGCAATCATCTGTGTCACAGTTTAAGAAAAATAACCCCCTGTAAGAGAAGCAAGTTTTTTAAATGAGGACCAGGCGTGCTTTTGGTATCACCACAAACAACGTTTGAACCAGCTTTTCCATGTCAGTAACTTGTACTGATTTTACACATCACAATGGAAAAACAAACTGACATAGACAACAGTGACTGCTGCTATTTTTACCATCCGAAAGCACTTAACAATAACAGCACAAGACTGGAAGGACACACAGAGATACTGTACATATCTTTCTAAGTCACAGTCCTCTGGTCAGCTCAGAGTTTAACATGGTGGTGGGAAGAGAAAAAAAAAAAAAGAGGAAAAAAAGCACAAGCAGCTGAAACCACAGGCCGATAGGTATCAGACCCCCTACGGTACTACAAGCAGCAAATACACGGCTACATAATCCTCACATGACAGTGCTATAGAGACACTGTGAAATGTTATCTTCACTCTCACCTCAAGAGGCTGTGGTCCTGCCACTGAGTGGGGGGCTGCACAGCATTAAAGCTGTCAGGATGTGGAGTGAAAACGCGGAGCACTTTAAGGCTTTTCGGAGCCGTGATCTCATGTTGGCTATTCAGTGAGATTAGACCAGCGGCTGTTTGTGTGGAGGCTGCTGGTTTCACTTCATTACAAGTAAAATAATATGCCATATATATAAAAATGCTGCCGTTTCTGTGTTTTTCTATATTTTTACCTAACAAGACATTATATATCCTATCAAGTCTATGCATTTTTGTCCCCCAGTGCAGCCTCTCTGAACAATGGCACATGATAGAGTGTGCTTTGGGGCAGGAATGGGTGGCATTATTTCAACCCAAGTGGGGCTATCTTTATAACATGTCCTCTGATGAGGCAGGAACAGCTGCCTGTGGCATTCCATATCCAGAGCTGCCTTTTTAGGGCAGAAACTGCACTCTGTTACCTTTCACTTTATTTCCAGAGCCACCAAAGTTCACCTTCCAACAGTGTTTGCGGGACAATTTGCAAGCGCAGTAAGGAGAAGGTGACCGCAAGGAAAGCAGCTTCTATGAAATCCAAAAAGCACATTGACTTCTATATTTTATTCAGCTTTTAGGCTCTGTGAAAACAGTTAAACACAACAGCCACAGCAGAGATTTTTCTTCTTCTGTGATGTCATATTGAATCGTTACTCGGCCACACCACGGTTAAGATAATACACAATATTGACTTACGGACAACCCGTTTCGGTGGAGAAAAATGCGTGATATCAGAGGTAACAAAGTTCTATTTTAAAGACTCAATTCACTTTCTATATCAATGAGCACGAGCCTCTTCATTTTCCCTCAGCCATAAAGCCAAGCACAATCATGTGTGAGCCATTGCCGGCATTATGTAAATCACATCGGTGCAACATAAAATCCTGTTTTCATTTTCTTTTGCAAAGCTGTGGAATCATTAGAGGATATGCAATTTGAAGGAGTTTACAGATCACCCCATCGCCAGACAATGCAGCCCCGCGCTACCCACACATGCTTTCTCAGTTACTGTATTTACATTGCAGGCTTCCTCTCTGAAACAATGACTTCAGGAATTATGTAGTTTTGAGGGGGCCGTATATCAGAGGCACATTACTGTACAATTTAGTGTTAGACAATTGCAGGCGGGGGTGAAAGGGTCACCTTTCAGAAGACAGCAATTTTGAAAAAAAAAAAAAAAAAATCAGCTGGAAAAACTATTAGGAAGTGGAAGACATAAATTTTCAAGTTTTTTTTTTTTTCTCCTCAGAAATACTCTCCAAAGGAAGATTGAGGTCATTTGGGTGTTGCTGTGGAGGTCATTTTTTCTGTTTACTGTGTTCAGTATTTCATGCTTTAACTACCGATTTCCTTTGTATTGCAATCTCAAGCTCCTTGTAGGAAATGACCCCTACGCAGTTGTTTCTTTCCATTAGTGCCTATTTATGTATGATTTTCTGTTAACAATAAGGAGCACGAGTGGAGGACCAAGTGCTACCGGCAGAGTATCTAAACAGGCCTCAAGCTGAATTATCAGACATCTTAAGCACATATTCAGTGTTTTCTTTTTAAAGGTAGGGGCGTGATTTAAAACAAATTAAATATTGTGAGCTTCCCCCCCGAGGAGGAACATGCTATGGTTCGATGGTTTATGGAAGCAGTCTCAACTATTATTTATGCTGTGGGTTTCTGTCCACAGCAGCTTTTTGCCATTGCTTACAATAAGGATTGCTATGGTAACGCTAAGCTGTTTACCTCAAGTCGTTTGTGTGCATGATAGCGTACAATGAGATAAAATCTGTGGGGACCTACATGAAAGAACAACTTTTCCCTCTGGGACCGACTCCCCCACCTCCCCGAGAGTCCAGTAAGCATTCTGCCTTATTAATGAATATCAGTAAGAAAAACAACACTGTCACATGCATCGGACATTATTTACAGTCTGTTTTAGCCTGGTGTGCTAATTGTCAAGGAGGAGACACCTCAGTAAGCACTGGGAGTTGGAAAAAAAAAAAAAAAGAAAAAGGGCAGGTTTAAATGTGAACACAACAGCTGAAACTAATTTTTCCAACTGCTTATGTTAACAGTGACATTATTTTTACTGGAAACAGTGCAGGACCACAAAGGAGCGCCGTATAGTGTCTGTATAAGGCCAAAAACCTGGGGAAAAAGTCAAGAAACTATTTTGAATACATTTGGACTGTGTCAGGTTCTTTTTCATCTTCGCTCAAAAATAAGTGCATCGGGGCACAAGTGCAAGTTCTTCGGAGCCCTGCTTCTTCTCAGAGCTGGGATGACACTGCTTGTATTCAAGTCTAGCCCTTCACACTGACAAACTAACTATTCCACGGCTCCAAGCCCCACAGGTCTTGTTGGTTTTTGATGCAGAGTGTCTGTTTGTGTGCCAGAATGATATCATGCCCAATCAAGTGGTGTTTCAAATCCTAATAACGCTGTTGGAAGTGCATTATTTGTGTGAACGTGCACAGACTGTAATCAAGGCAGCTACGGGTAAAGGATGTGGGAGTTAACACTGGTCGTGACTGGCAGGGTCACGGCTCTACTTCTCTGTCTGACATACAAGACCAGGCAGCTTGCGTCCAAACTGCTTGTGCGGTCGCCTTATGGAAGATGTAAAAGTCGCATGTACGAAAACACCGAAAACTGAATAACTCGGCTTCGTTGTCAATCCAGAGAGCGGCGCTGCCCCACAAACCCACCAGCTCCCCGCAGCGTGTTTCGGTTTGTATGGAACGGAGCACGCAGGAGGGGTCTGTATATAAGAGAGGTAGATATTACCTGTTTAAACTGAAGCTTATCTCTCCAACTAATCAAACACAGATACAGGGCCTCTTGTAGATTCCTGCTGAGTTCCAACATGACTGACACAGGGACAAACCCCCCGCAATATCTCAAGTTAATTAATACAAACAGGGTCTGGGAGATGTCTGTTCAGCTCAGGATTATTTTACAATATGCAATCGAGAGTTGCAGTAGCTCTTTAAAATAGTCCAGTTATAACTTTATGAACCTTTGGCAGATTAATCGACAAGGCTGCAGCTCCCAGTGTGTAGCTCAGTGAACCTTTCATGTCTCCGGCTCTCAGGGGAGATGTATGTGCGACAGAGTGCATGTGTGTTTCAGGGAAATCACTGAGCCACACCGGCAAACGTACACAGACACACTTGAAAATTACCATGTTTTTATTTTTGTAAATTTACGGCTTGCAGGAAGAGGATGTTTTCCTCTTCTCTCTCTTTCTCTCTCTTCCCACTGCCTGGTAGAGAGGCTGCGGCAGCCGCAAGGAAGTCAAGCGGAAAGCCACTGATGGACAACTACGCCACTGCACCCAGACCCCAGCATCTGGCCCCTCTCTCATTTTTATTACAGAAGAATAACAATAAGCAGGTCGCCGACCCCACCGTGAGATTTTGCCACAGTTTTCTAACAGTCGGTGCAGCCGATGCTGAGAAATTTCCATTTTTCCGCATGCATATTTAATTGAGTTTTGTCCCAGTGGTGCGGAAATGATTTGTTTTTTGCTCTCTGTTCACTTGACTCCTCTTCGGAGTCGCTAACCCTGATTAAGACGTTCCCGTTAATTTCCCAGCGCACACCTTTTTTTGTGCATTAATGGTTCTGATCGTCTAATTAAAACTTCTCAGCTCGGCTGCTGATCACCGCTCGTTGTGCCTCTGACCTGAAGTTTTAATTGCCGCATCAGAAGCGATAATAATAATTTTGAGGTTCTGATGATTAAAAACAATGCCATTGCCAACTAGTTGATAGATGGGGGTTTGGGGTGGGCACATCTGAGGAGAAGTTTATGCAGAGAAGGGATTTAGAAAGGGGGCTGTAAAGGCGGGTTTACACTATTAAGGAACAAGAAGGGTGGTGGTGGTGGTGGTGGGGTGGGGGGGCGAGACTACTGTAGGTGATCAGTGAAGGGAAGGGGTGGCAGAGCATATGGAAATCTCCCACCTCTTCCATCCCTTAGAGTCTTACTAAAGAAACAAGTTTGTCTGGGACTGGGACTCAGCTTTCCCCACCTCGAATCTAAAGCTGCCTGTGACTGATCTACTATGGAGCTCTACTCACTTGGCAGGTTTGCCAGGTTGGGGAAGAGAGAGAAAAGGAGGCAGAGAGGGCACAAGAGAAAGGACGACAAAGGCACATAAAAGATGACGACAGTCCAATACCTTCTGCTTATTTTCATAAAAAGATAATAGCACTGTAGGCACGGTATAAAAGGCGCATTGTTCACAAAGTGAGTGAATGGAAAAAAAAAAAAAAAAAAGGAACCTACGGTGACTGTTGTCTCCGTCATAAAACATGATACCGATGAGATATACGTGATACGGAGATTACTGTCAAAACAGGAGAAGTGAGTTGCTTGTGATCTTCTTTGAAACAGCACTTTCGCACTGTACTTTACAG